CTCAGAATTTTTCTTTGTCCCACGCTCGTGTCATGTTGATTAATTCACCTTCACATTTCATTACCGAGCTTAAAATTCACCATCTTTATTAACTTATAATATTAATATCTAAATTTAGTATTCTACGCTGGGAGCACGAGAATATTAGCTACCGGTAGATCTTAAGTTATGTGGTCCACTCTGCTGCAATCTAACAAGTTCTTGTAGAGAGATAGGACCTTATTCATTAATTACTTTAAAAGTGATAATGATAAGTTTGAACTGTATTCTAAACTGAACAGGCAACCAGTGCAGGGAACATAGAATCTAGTTCAGTAGCATGAGAGTAAGATAGGCTAATATGACCCCAAGGTGGAGCATTTCAACAACAATTTTAGCATCATCTGTGTCAGAAGTTCAGTTAGGCAGTAGAAAGCCATGTGTAATAAGTATCAGCATGCACGTTTACGTCCCCTTTCACTGAGTGCCTTGAACAGGCTGATTTTGCGGCCAATATATAATACCTGCAGACGACCTGAGAGTGAAATACTGATGATGAAGAGCCAAATGACTAACTTTGTCCTTGATCACTATAAAAGGGAACTTCTGGTCAGGGCTGTCATCTGGAATGAGGATGAGATGAAAGGTGTTCTTAAAGCAAGCACCATTTGTCTTTTGGTTATAATTATGGATCATGCATGAAGATCGAATTTACAGGAACAGGGGAAGGGGAAACAGGCTTTGATAGTCTTATTTGGCTGAACCTTGCTTACAGTAGCTTATCTGAGTTTTTTTGTGTGTGTGTGTCCAGATAACCTAAGGCCAAGATTTAGAAGTCAACAACTGAATTTGTCCCCCCCCTGCAAAAGCAAATTTACTTGCACTGACAATTTTCAAAATGAAGGTTTCCAATTTCTGAGTGGTCATATAATTCAATAGTTAAATCATCTTTTTAGCAGCAGGAGATCTAGAAAGAAATGACCATCAAGCTAGTGAACAGTAACAGTTAAACCACATGAAAGGCTGGTCTTGTACATGTAGCTGTATCGTGACTTTGGCAAACCTGCCAGTCAGAAGAAAAATATGAAAAGTGTGTGGTAAGTTGATCTGTTACTTGTTACTATGACTAATCCAAACAGAAAGCAACTGTTTTTTCAAAATTTGAACAATTAGTTCTGGAGTTGCCCAAAAACATAATTGTAGTCCTTAGCGTCAAGTTGTTAATCAAGAAATGAACCCATCTGTGAAAATCAGTGGGAGTTTTTCAGAATCGTAGGGTTTGAAAAGCAAGCATTTGCTTGCTTGCCCCACCACCCTCTGCTTCGTCAATTCTTTTGTTCTTGCTTTGAAACACCTGCTATGCAGGCAATGTTCAAGTTTATGAAGGTCAACATTTTTATGACCTGTCAAACTATAACATTTTAAAAATTGACTAGATTGACAGCATAATTAATTGCTCGTGGTAAGAAGAAGAAGCACCACTTTCTGTTGAAAACTTGCAACAAAAAAAAACAAAACAAAAAAAAAAAAGAAAAGAAAAGAAAAGAAAAGAAAAATTCAAACCTTTTTGTTCAATTAAAAAAAAGGCATGGATATTCCCAAACAATCTTGGAACCAACAACTGTTTTTCAACTTAGCAACAATCCTGCCAAAAGCCTTAATCTGCTGGATTTTTCAAAACTGAATTTCACCCTATAATGGTACACTGTAACTGTTCCTCAAAGAGACTGGAACTAATAGTGGTACTATACATTAGTCTACTACATATAAAACAAAACTTTGACTGACTTGCCATGTGATTACCTGACGTTTTTCACTTCCTCCACTGATCTTTCGGTTTTCACATGTTTCTTGTTGGCCCTGATAAGAGATACATATGTAGTGTACAGTTACTTACGATTTCATACTGCTGGTATACTTTAGTGTTATAAATTTAACTGATAGAATTAGAACTTCAGTCGAACTTCCGGTTGCAGTCACCTCTCGTATAAAGCAACCGCCTCCTCTAAGAGGGTGTCAATGGGGGTTAACTGTTTAGCGTATAATGACTGTTTTTTACTATCGCAACTGTATAAACCACAAAATATGAACTTATTAATGTAAGAAAAGATGATTGACTTTTTAGTGTATGCGATACTTAAGTCAAAGTTTCCTGACTTTCCACGACAAATAACAACATTTTTACTAGGATGCAAATCTAACTTGCAGTTTAGTTTGACCTCATCTAAAACTTCTAGAAACCCTTCATTCCTTCATATTTCGTCTGGTGTGTGTAATATTAGAGTTTGATCCAGATTGGTTCTCATTTTGTAACATGCTCTGAGCCTGTGCTTTGGCTGCGGTTTTAGTTACCAGTTCCAGGCTTCTCTCGTCTCTTCTTTGCAAACCTGGCAGCCATTAGTGCTGTACAATAAAACCTTGCCTTATGGTCACCTCGTTAAAATGGTCAGCTTGTTAATATGGTCACCTCGTTATTACGGTCACCCATACATTTTCTTATGAGAAAACCCTGTTCATGCGGCCGCCTTGTTAATACAGCCAACAGCCACATTCTGAAATTTAAACCCGGATAGTCCTTTATAAGACTTAATTTTACTCCACTTTATATGGCCACTCAAACCAGTTACGTTCGTCTTTCCTTTGTTAACATTGTGAAAGGATTGAGGGTTCAATACTTTTCAAAAATTATATCTGCGTTCCAGATGTTTATTAAAGAACAGTTGTTGAGAAGTGCAATTGTGATACATGTATATCAGTTAAGATGTCACTCAATTAAGACCAACATCGCAGTTAATCAGACGGGCACTCCGTTAATACGGCCAAATCTTCATGGCCCCTTAGTGACCGTATTTATGGGTTCTACTGTAATTACTTTTTACCGAGGTTCCGTGAAGTTGTCGAACAATTTTGCTCAAGAAGTTCTTTCCAAGGTGACTTGGGCATGCAGCTTCAATAATTCCAAATGCCATGTAGAGAGTGTGAATGAGAAAGCTAAGGAGCCAATGGAGTAAATTGCTTTGAGCCAAAATTGTTTTGCCTGGCGAGGTTGACTACAGGAACATACCTTACTTTTAGTGTTCAGTGTGCAGTTTTGCTAAGAAATTAATGATATCATAAGGGTCTTAAAAGACACACATAGGAGTCCACAGCATAACACTAATTGTGCAATAGGTAGGAAAGGTAAAGTCTGCATATGATCCAAGTGGCCCATCAGGCAGGAGGTTATCCAGTTTCTGAAGCAGGAAGCCTGTAGGAGTATTTCTACTCGCCCCTGGATGGGATCTTAGTCCATCACAGGACCCTAGCACTCAAACCCAGTCACTGGTACCCATTTGTACACCAGGGTAGAGAGAAGAACTGTGAGAGTAAACAAGGTTCGTACCCTTTTTCAGAAACAAATTTCCAGGACTTTTCCAGGACTTTTCCAGGACTNGAAGATTTCCAGGACTAAGTAGGGATGGCCAGGGTTTTAGGGTATGAACGGTTAATACAGGGGCATTTTAAATTAAGTATACAGTATATATATTAGAAAATAATCCAAAACTAAACATCTGTAAAAACGCTGCATCATAAGTACTGCAAAGTTGCTTTCTCCAGGTAAATAAGCTCTTGATTTAACCCTCTCGACACATCAAGATGACTTTACAACAAAAATTAACGGCCGACTTTGCTGACCATTTGAGCCTCTTTTACATTCGCGATATGAAGTAGAACTACTAAATAGTTATGTATTTACAAAGAAAAAGAATAAGAAAAGAAACTAGAGCGAGAGTATGAAAATACTGAGCGTACAGTGCACAGTGTACATAGTTTAATTGTTAAATAACACAACTCACCTTATGTGAGTTTATAAACAATATGGCGACCTCTCCTCTCTCTACTAGAATTGAGAAAAAGTCACCAGATTAAATGACTTCTATATATTAATACAACTTTCATAAAAATAATGAGAAAGCTTTTTTACTTACCAAGAAGTTAAAATTAAAAGTCAAATATCCTTCCGTTTACACACTCGAAGGTTAAGGCCAGCGCGTGGAAACAGCGAAAGCTGGACGATCGAAAGGCATTGTGGGATAGGTTGGCCTCCCCTCCCTAGAAGCCCAACTGCACTTTTTGAGGGAGTCAGCCTGAAAAACTTGCGGTGTTTTGATAGATAAATTTTCGCGTTCTGTATCAGTCACTTGTGTTTTCAGATAAGAAATCGTGTATCACACCTGCTGGCGTTCCTTTGCGTTTTCTGTTAGTTCTGCCACGCTATAACTATGACCTTTAGGAAGTCTCTTATGCGGTTCCCGAGGGGGCACTCCCTTTAATGACCTATACAGGCGGGGGAAGGGACTCCTCCCGGAAGGGGTACCTTATATCAGGCTTCAGATATATTAGCCTTCAGGTATATAGAAGGGTAGGAAAATCTGAAATGTAAGTCCAACGTGAACATGAACTGAATAATATATAGATTTAGCCAAGCGTAAAAGCGGAGCTCCTGTTGGTTGTTCAAAGCCCGATTAAGCTAATCCAGGATAAGCGAGGATTTTGATTTGAGTTTTGTAACTTTAAGGTGGGGTTTTCTGTACATTGTTTGGCCTTCCGGCTGTTTTGAGTTTCAATAATCTCAAACTACACAAAGCAAAAGCAGTGAAAAATATTTTTCTACGAGAGAAATTTATAGTTTGCTTAACTTTTAATCCTGGGTTAGCATTAACCGGGGCCGTCGATAAAACCAGGAACATGGAACATTCCGGAACATCTCGGAACATTCCGGAACATCGAATAATTATCATGATTATGCGAAAAATATGTAAAATTAAGTTTTAAAAAGCAAATCTGGGCCACCTTAGTGGCCCAGATCGCCAAGTAGAGCACCATACCCATATAGGAAAGAAAAGGAAATTCTCATGGTTATCAGGGCTAGCGGTATTGCTTGTGGGCGCGTACGCACTACGACGACGGCGGAGCTCATCGAGGTCACGTGTTTTTTGAAGTTGATTGCTGTTTAAGTACTGGTTTTCGATTGGATCAAGGGCTCATGTCACGTGAACTTGCTCTAAACAGGGCCGGGTTGTTCGGACGCCGGTTAGTGGCCGTCGATAAAACCAGGAACATGGAACATTCCGGAACATTCCGGAACATTTCGGAACATCATAATTATGCGAAAAATATGCAAAATGAAATTTTAAAAAATTAAATCAAACAAAAATAAACTGGTATCAGCTTGAAGCATGAAAAGATATTATTGGGGATAAGGGAGTCGGTAGCAGAGGGGTAGGGAGCGTTGGGTATTCATTCAACTGACCACAATGAGAGCAGGCTCCTCCTCTTCCCGCCAATTTCGTTACGTCGAATGGCTCGATAGAAAACTAAGTTTGATCGAATGTCAGATAACGATCTGCACGTGAAGTTGAACTAGCGATGAATAGATCATAGCCTGCGGTAAAAGTATTTTTAATTAATCAAGTATTTACTTGTACTGGACAAACATTTTCCAGGAGATGCTTTTGAACTGTTGGCGACATGTAGAATTCAATTTCAGATCGCCAACAATTGTAACAAATATTTCTAGAGACAAAGTTTTGACCAGCGACCCCGCAAGACAGCGCGCGCGTCGCCAAATGTTTTAAATTTTGTGTTTGTATTTGTTTACACTGTCATCAAAGGTCGAGCAGTCCGAACTAGTTTAGAGAAGAACCTCGATGCCGAAGAGTTTCTATTTCTATCTCGTGGAGAAACCATTTCTTCATGAGAAATCTTGTATAAGTATATCTTTGTATTGACGTAATGAATTGAATGAGGAAATCACACTCGTGTACCTATACTTTTAGGTCTGATTAAGGAGTTCGAACGCCACCACCTTAGTTTACCTGGACCACTCGATCCAAAGTCAAGCACACTAACCATGAGGCAACCGTGCCTCCAAATTACGCCACTTTCAATAATTCAAAAGCTGATTATGTTTAAATCATGACTTATTTTGCAAACAAAGGTCATCCAAAGCTCATAAAAATCATAAAATCATACAAATTAACTGCCAGACTAATCTCCTTTTTTACTGTTTACTGGCTAACATGATTTCGAACAACTTACTGACTAAATGGCTTACTCTTAGCTGTTTACTGTCTAGGGCTAAACCCCATTGACACCCTCTTCTAAGCAACCAGTTTTCCAAAATACAAAGAGTTTCCAAGTCAAACTACTATAATACTTGGAACCTCTTGTAAGCGACCACCTCTTGAAAGTGGCCTCGGCCACTTTTAGAGCTAAAAGTTTAAAGTTTTCTTTTGTTTTTAACCTCCTGTAAGTGACTACTCAACAGATAATCGAGCAGAAAGTGAAAAATTAGGTATTGTAACATTATTGCATTCCTGGGTAGTACAAGAGACAGACATTTCTCAGTGGGGAAGTACTGGGTTCTTTCTTGAAATCGACTTTTCACATGAATTAAACATTTAAAAGACTTAAAAGATGGGGAAGTCTCTGCAGTCACCTTATGCTAAGGAGGAAAAATTGTGACCCAATATGATCTTAGTTCTCTTAAACAACAACCCCCCGTGAGCGATTACCTAGGATTGACATTTTGGGTGGTCGCTTATGGGAGGTTCAACTGCCAAAAGAGTATTAACATATACATGTGCAGGTGCACTTGCAAACAACATTGCAGATACCAGAAATATAAACTGACCTGATCTAGCTGTATCTGACTCCTCCATTGATCTTAGTAGTCCCATGTTGTTGTTTGATTCTTGTTTGCCTGAGAATAAATGAAAATATATCAATGTGAGACTTATCAGTTGCTGTTTATTTTTGAATAGAAGTTAATACATGTATGTACATGCGACATAGACAATTAATATTGCAAAAGTGATTGTTTCAACAGCAGCTTTGCTTGCATTTTTCCAGCAACCAGTAATGAGGGGGTAAATAGGATTTTCGGATCGACAGATTTGGCCTTAAAAAATGCATGGATTGTGGATTTTTTGTGGTAAATCGAGCAGATTTGCAGATTTTGAAAACACACTGGATCATGGATCAGCTGTGTCAATTTTCACGTGGATTCTGGACTGTGCCTGTCTTGATGTTTGGATCTTGGGTCCTAAATGAAATTTGGATCATATATCTTTCTTCAGCCTTAGTCAGTATGTTAGTGAGTTCATCCAAATTATTTCTTTTTTTGAACAAAGCTCGTGTAAGCTCAGGTGTGAGACTGTTATTGGAATTGTACTGTATTATAGTCATCAAGCATGTTGCCTTCTTTACTATTTGTGCAAAATTACTAGTATCAATGGCATTCACGTCTACCTTTCCGGATGTAATTGTGGTTTTGGATTTGAACAAAAGTATTGGCGGATCGACAGATTTGGCAAAAAAAAAGGCACGGAGATCGGCGGATTTGCATACCCCTATTCACCCCCCTCCATAATGCATAGTGAAAAGCAACTTCTCACACTTCATATTTTACTCTGAAGATTTCCAGGACTAAGTAGGGATGGCCAGGGTTTTAGGGTATGAACGGTTAATACAGGGGCATTTTAAATTAAGTATACAGTATATATATTAGAAAATAATCCAAAACTAAACATCTGTAAAAACGCTGCATCATAAGTACTGCAAAGTTGCTTTCTCCAGGTAAATAAGCTCTTGATTTAACCCTCTCGACACATCAAGATGACTTTACAACAAAAATTAACGGCCGACTTTGCTGACCATTTGAGCCTCTTTTACATTCGCGATATGAAGTAGAACTACTAAATAGTTATGTATTTACAAAGAAAAAGAATAAGAAAAGAAACTAGAGCGAGAGTATGAAAATACTGAGCGTACAGTGCACAGTGTACATAGTTTAATTGTTAAATAACACAACTCACCTTATGTGAGTTTATAAACAATATGGCGACCTCTCCTCTCTCTACTAGAATTGAGAAAAAGTCACCAGATTAAATGACTTCTATATATTAATACAACTTTCATAAAAATAATGAGAAAGCTTTTTTACTTACCAAGAAGTTAAAATTAAAAGTCAAATATCCTTCCGTTTACACACTCGAAGGTTAAGGCCAGCGCGTGGAAACAGCGAAAGCTGGACGATCGAAAGGCATTGTGGGATAGGTTGGCCTCCCCTCCCTAGAAGCCCAACTGCACTTTTTGAGGGAGTCAGCCTGAAAAACTTGCGGTGTTTTGATAGATAAATTTTCGCGTTCTGTATCAGTCACTTGTGTTTTCAGATAAGAAATCGTGTATCACACCTGCTGGCGTTCCTTTGCGTTTTCTGTTAGTTCTGCCACGCTATAACTATGACCTTTAGGAAGTCTCTTATGCGGTTCCCGAGGGGGCACTCCCTTTAATGACCTATACAGGCGGGGGAAGGGACTCCTCCCGGAAGGGGTACCTTATATCAGGCTTCAGATATATTAGCCTTCAGGTATATAGAAGGGTAGGAAAATCTGAAATGTAAGTCCAACGTGAACATGAACTGAATAATATATAGATTTAGCCAAGCGTAAAAGCGGAGCTCCTGTTGGTTGTTCAAAGCCCGATTAAGCTAATCCAGGATAAGCGAGGATTTTGATTTGAGTTTTGTAACTTTAAGGTGGGGTTTTCTGTACATTGTTTGGCCTTCCGGCTGTTTTGAGTTTCAATAATCTCAAACTACACAAAGCAAAAGCAGTGAAAAATATTTTTCTACGAGAGAAATTTATAGTTTGCTTAACTTTTAATCCTGGGTTAGCATTAACCGGGGCCGTCGATAAAACCAGGAACATGGAACATTCCGGAACATCTCGGAACATTCCGGAACATCGAATAATTATCATGATTATGCGAAAAATATGTAAAATTAAGTTTTAAAAAGCAAATCTGGGCCACCTTAGTGGCCCAGATCGCCAAGTAGAGCACCATACCCATATAGGAAAGAAAAGGAAATTCTCATGGTTATCAGGGCTAGCGGTATTGCTTGTGGGCGCGTACGCACTACGACGACGGCGGAGCTCATCGAGGTCACGTGTTTTTTGAAGTTGATTGCTGTTTAAGTACTGGTTTTCGATTGGATCAAGGGCTCATGTCACGTGAACTTGCTCTAAACAGGGCCGGGTTGTTCGGACGCCGGTTAGTGGCCGTCGATAAAACCAGGAACATGGAACATTCCGGAACATTCCGGAACATTTCGGAACATCATAATTATGCGAAAAATATGCAAAATGAAATTTTAAAAAATTAAATCAAACAAAAATAAACTGGTATCAGCTTGAAGCATGAAAAGATATTATTGGGGATAAGGGAGTCGGTAGCAGAGGGGTAGGGAGCGTTGGGTATTCATTCAACTGACCACAATGAGAGCAGGCTCCTCCTCTTCCCGCCAATTTCGTTACGTCGAATGGCTCGATAGAAAACTAAGTTTGATCGAATGTCAGATAACGATCTGCACGTGAAGTTGAACTAGCGATGAATAGATCATAGCCTGCGGTAAAAGTATTTTTAATTAATCAAGTATTTACTTGTACTGGACAAACATTTTCCAGGAGATGCTTTTGAACTGTTGGCGACATGTAGAATTCAATTTCAGATCGCCAACAATTGTAACAAATATTTCTAGAGACAAAGTTTTGACCAGCGACCCCGCAAGACAGCGCGCGCGTCGCCAAATGTTTTAAATTTTGTGTTTGTATTTGTTTACACTGTCATCAAAGGTCGAGCAGTCCGAACTAGTTTAGAGAAGAACCTCGATGCCGAAGAGTTTCTATTTCTATCTCGTGGAGAAACCATTTCTTCATGAGAAATCTTGTATAAGTATATCTTTGTATTGACGTAATGAATTGAATGAGGAAATCACACTCGTGTACCTATACTTTTAGGTCTGATTAAGGAGTTCGAACGCCACCACCTTAGTTTACCTGGACCACTCGATCCAAAGTCAAGCACACTAACCATGAGGCAACCGTGCCTCCAAATTACGCCACTTTCAATAATTCAAAAGCTGATTATGTTTAAATCATGACTTATTTTGCAAACAAAGGTCATCCAAAGCTCATAAAAATCATAAAATCATACAAATTAACTGCCAGACTAATCTCCTTTTTTACTGTTTACTGGCTAACATGATTTCGAACAACTTACTGACTAAATGGCTTACTCTTAGCTGTTTACTGTCTAGGGCTAAACCCCATTGACACCCTCTTCTAAGCAACCAGTTTTCCAAAATACAAAGAGTTTCCAAGTCAAACTACTATAATACTTGGAACCTCTTGTAAGCGACCACCTCTTGAAAGTGGCCTCGGCCACTTTTAGAGCTAAAAGTTTAAAGTTTTCTTTTGTTTTTAACCTCCTGTAAGTGACTACTCAACAGATAATCGAGCAGAAAGTGAAAAATTAGGTATTGTAACATTATTGCATTCCTGGGTAGTACAAGAGACAGACATTTCTCAGTGGGGAAGTACTGGGTTCTTTCTTGAAATCGACTTTTCACATGAATTAAACATTTAAAAGACTTAAAAGATGGGGAAGTCTCTGCAGTCACCTTATGCTAAGGAGGAAAAATTGTGACCCAATATGATCTTAGTTCTCTTAAACAACAACCCCCCGTGAGCGATTACCTAGGATTGACATTTTGGGTGGTCGCTTATGGGAGGTTCAACTGCCAAAAGAGTATTAACATATACATGTGCAGGTGCACTTGCAAACAACATTGCAGATACCAGAAATATAAACTGACCTGATCTAGCTGTATCTGACTCCTCCATTGATCTTAGTAGTCCCATGTTGTTGTTTGATTCTTGTTTGCCTGAGAATAAATGAAAATATATCAATGTGAGACTTATCAGTTGCTGTTTATTTTTGAATAGAAGTTAATACATGTATGTACATGCGACATAGACAATTAATATTGCAAAAGTGATTGTTTCAACAGCAGCTTTGCTTGCATTTTTCCAGCAACCAGTAATGAGGGGGTAAATAGGATTTTCGGATCGACAGATTTGGCCTTAAAAAATGCATGGATTGTGGATTTTTTGTGGTAAATCGAGCAGATTTGCAGATTTTGAAAACACACTGGATCATGGATCAGCTGTGTCAATTTTCACGTGGATTCTGGACTGTGCCTGTCTTGATGTTTGGATCTTGGGTCCTAAATGAAATTTGGATCATATATCTTTCTTCAGCCTTAGTCAGTATGTTAGTGAGTTCATCCAAATTATTTCTTTTTTTGAACAAAGCTCGTGTAAGCTCAGGTGTGAGACTGTTATTGGAATTGTACTGTATTATAGTCATCAAGCATGTTGCCTTCTTTACTATTTGTGCAAAATTACTAGTATCAATGGCATTCACGTCTACCTTTCCGGATGTAATTGTGGTTTTGGATTTGAACAAAAGTATTGGCGGATCGACAGATTTGGCAAAAAAAAAGGCACGGAGATCGGCGGATTTGCATACCCCTATTCACCCCCCTCCATAATGCATAGTGAAAAGCAACTTCTCACACTTCATATTTTACTCTGAAGATTTCCAGGACTAAGTAGGGATGGCCAGGGTTTTAGGGTATGAACGGTTAATACAGGGGCATTTTAAATTAAGTATACAGTATATATATTAGAAAATAATCCAAAACTAAACATCTGTAAAAACGCTGCATCATAAGTACTGCAAAGTTGCTTTCTCCAGGTAAATAAGCTCTTGATTTAACCCTCTCGACACATCAAGATGACTTTACAACAAAAATTAACGGCCGACTTTGCTGACCATTTGAGCCTCTTTTACATTCGCGATATGAAGTAGAACTACTAAATAGTTATGTATTTACAAAGAAAAAGAATAAGAAAAGAAACTAGAGCGAGAGTATGAAAATACTGAGCGTACAGTGCACAGTGTACATAGTTTAATTGTTAAATAACACAACTCACCTTATGTGAGTTTATAAACAATATGGCGACCTCTCCTCTCTCTACTAGAATTGAGAAAAAGTCACCAGATTAAATGACTTCTATATATTAATACAACTTTCATAAAAATAATGAGAAAGCTTTTTTACTTACCAAGAAGTTAAAATTAAAAGTCAAATATCCTTCCGTTTACACACTCGAAGGTTAAGGCCAGCGCGTGGAAACAGCGAAAGATGGACGATCGAAAGGCATTGTGGGATAGGTTTTCTTTGGCCTCCCCTCCCTAGAAGCCCAACTGCACTTTTTGAGGGAGTCAGCCTGAAAAACTTGCGGTGTTTTGATAGATAAATTTTCGCGTTCTGTATCAGTCACTTGTGTTTTCAGATAAGAAATCGTGTATCACACCTGCTGGCGTTCCTTTGCGTTTTCTGTTAGTTCTGCCACGCTATAACTATGACCTTTAGGAAGTCTCTTATGCGGTTCCCGAGGGGGCACTCCCTTTAATGACCTATACAGGCGGGGGAAGGGACTCCTCCCGGAAGGGGTACCTTATATCAGGCTTCAGATATATTAGCCTTCAGGTATATAGAAGGGTAGGAAAATCTGAAATGTAAGTCCAACGTGAACATGAACTGAATAATATATAGATTTAGCCAAGCGTAAAAGCGGAGCTCCTGTTGGTTGTTCAAAGCCCGATTAAGCTAATCCAGGATAAGCGAGGATTTTGATTTGAGTTTTGTAACTTTAAGGTGGGGTTTTCTGTACATTGTTTGGCCTTCCGGCTGTTTTGAGTTTCAATAATCTCAAACTACACAAAGCAAAAGCAGTGAAAAATATTTTTCTACGAGAGAAATTTATAGTTTGCTTAACTTTTAATCCTGGGTTAGCATTAACCGGGGCCGTCGATAAAACCAGGAACATGGAACATTCCGGAACATCTCGGAACATTCCGGAACATCGAATAATTATCATGATTATGCGAAAAATATGTAAAATTAAGTTTTAAAAA